TAAAATTGATAACATTGTCATTGATGTACTACCACTACTGAACATTTCACGCTTTTTCTTGAGCCACCAGCAAATGGTCAAATTCAAATACATCCAAAAACAAAGTGACCTGCAGAAACTCAAAACAAAACCAGTACAGACATGTCAGAGAAAACAGACAAATGGACATATATGTAAACATAACCAAAAACAAGTCCTCATTTTTGATGTATGAAGTAAAGACTACAAGAATGTTATATCTGAGCATATGTACTATACCTGTAGTGGTTCCACCAATGGTAATAACTCATCAAAGTAGCGATCAACAGCACTCAGAAAGTTAGGATCCGTTGTTCTAACTCTCATGTCGGGACTATGTAACAACCAACTGAAATGAACAAATATAGTCTAGAGTAATATTGTCATCTATGATACACTGTAGTACACATGTGTGTACAAATATAGAGTAATATTGTCATCTATGATACACTGTAGTACACATGTGTGTACAAATATAGAGTAATATTGTCATCTATGATACACTGTAGTACACATGTGTGTACAAATATAGAGTAATATTGTCATCTATGATACACTGTAGTACACATGTGTGTACAAATATAGAGTAATATTGTCATCTATGATACACTGTAGTACACATGTGTGTACAAATATAGAGTAATATTGTCATCTATGATACACTGTAGTACACATGTGTGTACAAATATAGAGTAATATTGCCATCTATGATACACTGTAGTACACATGTGTGTACAAATATAGAGTAATATTGTCATCTATGATACACTGTAGTCAACATGTGTGTACAAATATAGAGTAATATTGTCATCTATGATACACTGTAGTACACATGTGTGTACAAATATAGAGTAATATTGTCATCTATGATACACTGTAGTACACATGTGTGTACAAATATAGAGTAATATTGCCATCTATGATACACTGTATTACACATGTGTATACAAATATAGAGTAATATTGTCATCTATGATACACTGTAGTACACATGTGTGTTACCACTAGATTGTGGTAGGATTTTGATGATTTATAAGGCAACAAGGGCACTAATGGAATGTTCACTGCTACGCAATTCAGTCTGGTTTGAGGAAGTTACTATGACTACCTGACACCAGTCATCAGCAGTGGTAATAATAAATAAACAAGCCCAATCTAGAAGCCCAATCATTAAAACAAAATGGCTGCCAGTCAGCCATTTTGAATCCAATCTGAAAAATAAAATGACGCGCATCAGAACCTGTAATGTCTAATGTATGTACCAAGTTTGAATGAAATCCATCCATAAATGCCAGAAATGCTTGATATTTGATGATTTTTTAGCACAAAAATGACCACCATTCAGCCATTTTGAATAGGATCGTCAAACCAATAAATCTGTTTATCTATGACATGATGTATAATGAATATTTAAAATTTGAATATAATCAGTCAAAACAAGTCGTAGATATGAGTCTAGAAGCCCATTCATTAAAACAAAATGGCTGCCAGTCGGCCATTTTGAATCTTATCTGAAAATAAAAATTATTTGCATCAAGGTCCCATAATGTCTAATATATATACCAAGTTTGAACAAAATCTATCTGTAAACAGCCGAGAAATGCTTGATTTTTAGGATTTTTTAGCAAAAAAATGGCCGCCATTCGACCATCTTGAATCAGATCGTAAAACAAAATGATGTGCATCAAGGTCCTATAATGTCTAATGTATATACCAAGTTTGAACAAAATCCACATGTAAACAGCCGAGAAATGCTTGATTTTGATGATTTTTAGCACAAAAATGGTTGCCATTCAGCCATCTTGAATCAGATTGTGAAACAAATTTAGGCGAGGGTTCTCCGAACCCGCCTATTCACATAGTTCATACCCACCATAGACTCCGGTCAGTCAAAATAACTATTTTGAACTGTAGGCATTAATCAGCGATTCTGTCGGTGACGGAGAGATAGAATCTAGGTCAAGGGAAGCCCCATGACCTCAAGATTCTTTTACCCCTACATCACGAACCCACGTGATCGAGGCCACATGGCAGCGCCATAGGTAGCCGTCAATCACTCTGAATTTCTCTTCGCCTCAAGTGGAGATGAAATCTAGCGAGCTCTGCTGGATTGCCTGCTTTTGTTTTCCTGTCCGGGTTTATAGCTTGGGTTGTTGCCGCTGCACGGCATCCGCCATTGTAGCTGGTAGGATAAGTTTTCCTTGTCTTTTTTACCCATGCACCAGTACATGTATATCAAATTGTTCACTGTGCCATTACAGATTGAGCATTTTAATTTCACCATGACTATTAACACAACAGAGGTAATTAACATTTGAATTGTTATCTAAATTAGCCATCAGAAAGTGATATTCTCACAGTAAAAATACTATACCTTGGTAAGCCTCCAAAATCCCATTCTGAGCAAATATAGGGTCCTGGTCGGAATATCACAAACAAACCGACCTCTTGGGCAAGTTTTATATACCTCCTAAAATGCAAAAGAAGATCACATCAGTGCATGTTTTTGAACTAGCATATACAATCATTTTAATTGTTTTGTAGCCTACCAACAAATGTTTATCTTGAAAACGGCATAAAAGTTTAAGAACATTTCATGTTAAATTGTGACCTATATAGGAATGAAAAAGACTCAGCAGTTATCACTACTGCACTTAGCCACAAATAAAGAAAAAATTAAATATTTTTTAAATAACAGAAACAAGAAATCAATAATTCAAATAGCAAAATACACAGATGACTAAAAATTGAAAAAAAGTCAGCTGCTTTAAAATAAAGTCATCAACATTAATTACATAATAGTAATCTAACTGTATCATGTTTCCCCTAATAGAAATATTGGAAACTACTGAATTTGTTTTATTTTCATATTTTAATATAATTTGCCAGTTAATTTTTCTTATTTTTCTTTTGTTCTGCATTGCGCATTCAAGTCAAGCCTCTGATGATACGAACACAATAAAGATTTATTAATATTACAAAAAATAGAAACTGGTAGTTTGTTGATCACACATTTCGCCTTGTAGTGTTGTTATGAAATTGACAACCAGTTCATGTCCATAAAAACTCTGCTGCAGGTTGCTGTAAATTTCAACGAGTAAATGGTAGAGAAGTCAGAAATATGTTTGATTGCCAAGAACATATTATAAACAGATGTGATTTTAACGTTTCACATACAGATGCAAAAATGTAGGTTACCATAGAAACTCATTAGTTTGACACTCACTAATTTCCAGAGAAAATTTATATACCAAGTCAATAAAATAGACCATTTCAAAATTTTGTTTTTATGCCATCTGCAGTGAGGCTGAATAGAGAAACATGTCCCAGTCCCGTAGCATTTAATAATATCACTAACAGTAGAGTTATCAATAATATCTACCCTGATCTTTTGAAAAATACTAATGAATTAGGATATCAATATGATTACATACATTACATCTACTCGGTATGCACCCCTACACACAGACAATTGATCCACACCGGTGGCCTGATGAAAATAATGGAACATACTAGTTTGCTGTAGCTTAGTGCGAGGCTGTGACACTGAGATATTATCCCCCATAATTTCTTACACTTTGCTTTGTGTGCTTTCATTTGTTTTTTGTTGGCAGGTTGTCCATTATTGTTTATAAACAAAATCGCATCACAAACAGCACATCTACATTGTACAATGATTGACAGTGTTACTGAACCAATGTCTTTTTATGTTTTATCTTTCAATTATTTTCTTTTAATATTTTTATTATTCTATATTATATGAGAAGCAAAAACAAGATCTCCGAGGCCAATTGTGTCGATGATCTATTAAGCTTTACAATTCTCACCTGATAGTCATCATTTTGTTAATTCAATTTCGAAGAGTAACTGAAATGTATTACTCATAATGGCCCAGTTTCAAATAAATCTGCAGACCTATGGAGGGATAGAGGTGAATTCTGAAGATTTTCGATTCATTCAGAAAAATATAATAGAATGGAGTTTAAAATATATATATTGAGATCTCAAATGAACACTACTTCATTATTGATTGGTGGAAATCCCATGATGCATTTCTTTGTTATGTAGACAACAAGCAAACAATGCAAAAATGCTCTTACAATGTATTCACTATTCTTTTTTTATTGTTCATTTAAGTGAGACATGCCCTTCGAGTGCTACAATACATTCACAATTGAGTCTAGAAACTCACTGAATTCAAATCCGGCTTCATTCATTACATATTTTTCAATTTTTTTTTTTTTTATCTTATATTATTATACATCTGTCACCGTAATGCCATAAATTACAGCATGCCGTAATTTTGGGGTATTGCACTGGGTATTTTTATCCTACCATATTGGGAAATGTAAATCCCAAATATTGAACAAATATGCGCATAAGCGTCCCCTAATACCCTGGTAATAGTAAAAATCAAACATGGCTGCCCCCAGGGTTTAATTGGACCCCACACAACGAAGTTCGTTAAATCTATTTTAAACGTTTTGGATTTCGGCATTCCCATGATGTATTTCTGGGAGGAAAAGATGTACAATAATAAGGTTATTACGAGGATACTGCAAAATATGCACTCAGACAGTATGCGGTTGATATTCCCACTGTACTGTCTTCGTGCATACTTTGTGGTATCCTCATAATAGCTTCATATTATCAAACTGCATATGTACAGTTTGTAGTGACATCTGCTATACCTGATTTGCATATTCTATGTAATAGCTTGATATAATTGTTTATTTTGTTCACTTGAAAAACAGCAATTTTAATCCGAGCAATACTAAACCAAACATTAGTGGTATCGAATGAACTTACACGGGATAAAATGTTGGGATGCATGAGCAAATAGCACATCGATAAGCTGGAAAATTTATATAATTTGTCAGCTATTTGCATACAACATGACACATTGCAATATACATCATTACAAAAGTTGACAAAAACATAATACTCACACAAGATCAAGTATACCAGTAAAGTCAAATTGACCTTTCACCTCTTCATGTGCATTCCATGGAACATATCTACCGGTACAATTAAAAACAATTAGAATAAATGTTAGTTAATGCAGGGATGACTAAGATTTGACGAGACAAATATTCAAAGATTTGTATATAAACTAAAAATAACTTTTAAGTTCTTCACATTCTTACTGTGGTCGCAATAAAGAATTGTCTAGAATTATTGCAGCTATGTTGCTGTATTGGTATAGATCATATTCAGCCAGGATCTAAATTATATGTACTATACAAGTAAGTTGCTTTATTGCATTTCTTTGATGAGTTTTGTGTAAGAAAAACAAAACCTTAGTTGAGATTATAGGCACAATGTGCAGGAAATTTGACGTTCAACAATACCGTATTTGTTCTATTAAAAGCACATCTTACATAGAAGAGTATATAAACTAAAATCACATTTGTTGTATTCTGAATCATTATAATATTACATATTTTGACCACCACTGTACTTTACACATGGCCATGTGCTACTTTGTCTAAGAACAAAGATAGTATGCAAATGATGCTGTAGAATTTGCCATAAATGGGTCATTGAAAATGTAATGAAAATGTTAAATTTGTTTTTAAATGGTGAAGTGCAACAGTTAATGATCAGTGTTGAGGAAATAAATGTTACATGTAACAGGTGACCATCAAGTTAACCTCATTTTTCAACCAGCATATTCACAAGAGACAGACACTTGCTAACTTTGTACCAGAAACATAAATCTTACTTGAAACAGAATGATGTAATTGTTTTTTTCAGTTTAGCAAATCGGCACAGTCACTTGATCACATGAAAGCTGAAAATATTTTTTATTATTTACTATTGATTATTAGTTATCACTAAATTTTTCATTGCTATACTACTTACACACTGCATTGACCCCCCTCCAAACACACACACACACACACACAGTTAGAATGGTTAAGCCCTGTAGCAAAAAAAAAAAAACACTTTTAAATAGAATTGGCTGTCAGATGCATCTCTCTATGTGCGAAGATTAAACGAAAAAGGAAATGGGCGTTACCAAATGGTTCTATAGCCAATTGAAGTGTCTTCTTTGGATTGGAATGAAACATGAGTGTCTTCTGACATAAATGTTCTATAAATATTTTATAAATTCTCATAAAAAACAATCATGCCTTTATACATGTACTTATGATGTCACATAACCAAAAAATTATGGTTTTGTTTCTGTGCTTTATTTGAATAAGATTTCTCATGAATTATACACAAACCCAAAAAACAAACTTATGTTGCCCTCAAGTCGGAAAATTGGGTCGGTCGGTCGGATTTCTTTTTTTTCAGAGAAATACAGATCAACCCGAGGTTCAAAGTCGTCACTTATCCCCCCAGGAACCCTGGGGATCAAACAACGGTCCGGAATCGTTAATTTTTAGAGGAAACGCTTTTTTACTGCATAAAATGGTGAGTTTTTAATATTTGGGCTTATTAAAAAAAAACGCGACCCGATATTTCTTATTTTTCGGTCGGTCGCTGAGGGCAACAAAACAATTTTTTTTTAGCCTTATGATGTTTACAGGGTTCAGTGAGAGGAATGAAATGCAATTTTAATGGTTGAGCATTGGAAACTCTGAGAGAAAATAGTAGAAAAACTGTTCAAAGTAGTTCTAAGATTTATTTTCAGGATATTGTTATACATGTACCTGTCAACTTTTCTTCAAAAAACTTGGGAAATGGTCACCCTGAATTGAATTTTTCAAATTGACTATTTTGCATAGAATATATATAATGTAAGATAAGATAAGATAAGATAATTTGATTGACATTATTCTTTCTATAGAAGATGAACATAGTCAAGTAAAATAAAAAAAAGTAAAGAGGATAATAAAAAAATGATCCATTGAAGTAAAATTAGGATTATCCTTATGCAAGTCTGTAAAAAGTATCTGCCTCATTTTATTGTGCTGTGGGCAGTCCATAATGTAATGGTACTCATCCTCAACTGAGTTATTGTCACATCTTGTGCAGATTCTGTGTTCCAGTTTTGTTTTTGGTCTAGTATACCTCCCTTTCTCAATCATAAGCTGATGGTCACTAATTCTTAATTTACAAATATATTTTCTATATTTTGAATTATTAACATCTATCAAATACTTTTCCATTTTGAAGTTTGTTTTAAACTTCCTGTAGGTGCGAAGTTTGTTGAGCTCTCCTGAATCAGATTAATGTCACTCTTTGACTTTTTTGAATAACCATCTTCTATTTTTTCCAAAACTCCCTTCACACTTTTACCTTCCCCCTTCTAATAATCATGTATATTATCAAAACCAGTTATTTGACTGATTGTTGTTGCCCACTTTGTTTTGTTGTCGATATTGTAGGACATTGCCTCGTGAATTAAAGTGTTTTCTTTCACAGTGCATGATCTATGCCAGTATTTTATCATCATTTTAGTAATAAATACTGACAATGGATGTATGCAAAATAGCTAATTTATATATTTTATTATGTACTATTCTAAAACAAAATCATGTGATTACACCCAATAGCAGCAACTAACTCTCTAGTCATCCAGTGTTTATTTTGTAGTGGCATTGTTCACTAAAGATTACAAACTTAGTGACAGTCTCACATTTTTGCAGCTAAGAAAACATAATTTACATTTTAAGTCTGGATTTCTTCCCCTAAATAAAATGTTGATAGTATGAAATGGTAAGCAGGTATAATGATACATTTCAGATGTTTAAGCGCTAGACGATTCCATATAGTTCTGTGTGTGTTGGAGTTGCACAATTGACATATATAAGCTAGTTTGTTGACTTAAATGTTCATGAGACATATAATGGTCACTGGTTACCAGCATAGTGGTTGTTGCATCAGACTCATGATCTGTAGACCCAAGTTCAAATCCTACCTTAGGCTGAACGCCAGGAGAGCGCATTAAATTGCCATTTGATAGAGAGATGGCCGCAGAGCCCTGTCATGTTGTCCCAAACATGAATATGACTTCTGTGGCAAAAATGCACTACCGAGTATATGTGTCAGCACTTGCAATTTGCACATACAAAACAAAGAGTCAGGAGAGACAACAGTGACATTCAATGTCCAGAACTGTCACCGGGCACAAAAACATTTAAAAACAAAACAAAAAAATGTTCTTGGGGCATGTTTTTGTTGATGCTCGCATTTGTTTTTTGTTTTATTTTCATTCATTTTAAAATACCGACAAGTTTGACCCCTCACCCGAAACACAAACAAAATTACAATTTGTGAGCATTTCTGACAATGCGAGAATGT